CTCACCTATTGTAATAAAATATATAAATAATTACATATTTTCCAACATAAATTAATATTCGTTGTATAATTTTATTCACCAAATCATTATCAACTAATTTTATTAGTGTTCATATCACAGTTGTATAATTTTATTTTATATTTATTGACAATCTTAAAAGTATTTAACTCTTTATATTTTTTCACTTTTTCATCTTACTTGACAACATTTTTATAGGAATGCATATATTGATAATATGGCTAAATTTTAGATCATATACTTACCCCGTAGGACACGGATTTAAAATGGAAAAATGAAATAAATTAAGAAAGTTTTGTGTGATATTTAAATCACTTCAAATTTGGAAATGAAAGAGAAATTGATGGGAGACAATGATATATAGTGGAAAATTATTTATGGCACTTTCCAAGTCAAATTTTTTTCCAAAATTTTATTCGACCCTAAATACAAAACATGATATTGTGACACATAGAATTCCAGAGCGTGCGAGCCTGCCACTTAGGCTCAGCATGTTTTAAATTAATATATATATATATATAGAGAGAGAGAGAGAGATAAAACACAAGGGAAAGAAAAATTGGACATGGGTTTAGAACATACCCATTATTGTCAGAAGTTCGTAGAAAATGAGCAGGATTTGCCAAAAATTTGAGGAAGATCTTGGATTCTAAAGTCGTTGGAGGATGTTTTTCTTGCTGAAAGGAGGATTTTCGACAAAAGGAACTTGGTAAGTTTTTCAGAAATGGTAAAGGAGTCATGGAGGCAGGATTAGGGCTTTTATAAGCCTGATGAAAGGGAACGGTTATATGCCAGATCGAATCCGACCGTTGGATGACACGCAGATCAAAGGTGTCAAGTTTACGAGCCAAAAGTGATAAGACATGTCCAAATGGACCTAGGACGTGTCGAAAGCTCGAGATCCCATGCAGATAAGATGTTTTCGGTGTCTCACATTCTCCTAGGATATATGATGGAACATTTAATTTAAAAAGTGAATCAAGTTCAATAGCACAACAAAGCATAATTTTAACAAAAGTCTCGACAACTTGTTCTGAAATAGGAGGCCTAGATGATGTAGCATCCAGGATCGCTCAGTAGGCCAGCTTGAGTTGTTAGCTCGGGGTAGGTCAGCCTAGAAGAGATCCAGCTCGATGAAGAGAAACTAAATCAGTCAAAGAGCTCGCTAGCGCAGCTCAAGTTATTGGACGACCTAATAAGACGACCCAGAGATCGTTACTCCCAGGAGCTCAGATACAAAGAGTGACCTCGATGTTTCGAGGTCGCGACTCGCAAGGTGGAGAGGTCGGGACATAATTATTTTGCAACTTTATCGATTATCTTGACCTGTCTGTCGCGTAGTTTATCGCATAACTATTGTGCATTTTATCAATTATATTCTCATCTCTTTCGCATATATGTCGCATAAGTATTTCGCGATCAATTATCTTCGTCTGTCTGTCGGATAGTTTATCATACTACCTCCTATTCTTTTTAAATGTCATTTTGGCTTTATCAATTATTAACCAAAATAAATGTCGTTTTGAAACTTTTGTACATATTTTTCCATTATTATCCTCATTTAGTTAATAAATACACTACGTCTTTTCATATTCTCTTCATCTTTTTTTTAAAACATCCCCTATCTTCATTAATGAGGGTTATTATTGGCAAAAAAATTATTCTTAATTAGTGTGCAACTTCGCAAAACGACACTTATTATGAATAGGAGGGAGTATAATTTATTTCGCACTTTATCAATTATCTTCGCTATATCACATATTGATCACATAATTTTTCGCACTTTATCGATTATTTTCGTCTGTTTATTGTGTAGTTTACCGCATAATTTATTTCACACTCATACTTTATCAATTATCTTTGTCTATTTATTGTATATTTTATCGCATAATTTGTTTAAACTTAATCCTTTTGCAATGCGGGTGAAAATTGTTATTTCCCTGAGCAATGGATATGATTGGCTAAGTCAACGATTAGAGACAATTAATTAAAACATATTTTAAATGTTACAAATAAATAATTGAATTACTGCAAAAAGACAACAAAAAGAAAAAAGAGAAAGAAAGCAAATCGTCTTTCTCTGAAAGCTTTTCCAACTTGGCTGAACTTTTAACTTCCTCTGTTTTAAAGTCGTCTATCGCAAGCAAAGATGTCAACTACATCACGGTGATACACTTGAAAGAGAAAAACATAAAAGGCAAAAGTAAAATAAAAAAAGATACTGAATTATTAGTATTTTCTTTTTGTTATATTTTCTCTAATCTTTTTCTTTTTTCGGAGAAGACGATCAAATTCGATCCTTTGCCAGTCTTCAGGAAATGATAAAGATAATTTTAATTTAAATCTATTAAAGGGTTAGGTGAGAAATAGCCCAATTTTATTTTCTTTTCTTTTATCATTCAGTAAAGCAATCTTTTTGTCCTAACATATATACGTACAAATTTGTGGCAACAAAGAGAGAGAAAGCAAAAAACAAGAGATGGGTTCTTCTGGGATGCTAGCAAGAAGGGCTTTGCTAACTAATACCCCTGTTATGGTTGAGGTATTTTTAATTTTTAAGATCCCTTCTATGCTACTGCTCGATTCATTTTATCCGCTTGATTTATTTTTATGTATATGTTTATGTGATTGTGTGTGTAATTTTTAATGTCTTAAATCTTTCAGATACAAGAGCTGATCCGAGGTGTGAAAGATTGTGTCTCTCTAGCTCAGGTTTTGTTTACTTTTCCCAAAGTTCGATTTTTTCGCTTTTTGTCCTTTTGATTTTGGTAGCATTTATATTTATTGAGTTTATTGCGTGATATTTCTGAGTATCGAGGTCGAGAAAGTGAGAAGCCTGAAGGGATCCCTTTTGTCTGTGCTATGTTTGGTTGAATTATAAAGTCTGTGTTCTGTGTAATTTCTTGGGAATTACTTCTTCAACTTGACTATTACTACAATTGTTGAGCCTTTTTTATTCCAAGCTCTTGAGCACATTAGTTCGGATTTTTATCATTATTCATTCGGTCCTTTTAGTAATCTTGATCCAAATCACTTGATGACTTCTAAAAAAATCTTGATCATATTGGTATTGTTGCAAAAGGTTTTTCTGTTTTAGTAGTTTTCCTCTTTTTAAATACAATGGTGATGGATTTAACTAAAAGAGCGTACACAGAGAAAATAAGATTTGCTTTCTCATCTCTGTGAACCTTAGTTGGAAGTGAAGCATGCCTATGGTTGATTTCAATTCCAGTATCCTTTTACTAAATTTTAAAAGGCATTGATATGACTGTACATGTGAGTAGCTGTTAGCTGGTCATTGGATTAGTTTCTTAAAGAAATAAAAAAAGTTCTTTTATGTTGATGGTTGTTTCCCACTGTAAACTTGCTAGTACAATTTATCATATTTCTACTCTCGGTAAAAAAGAATTAAAACATATTTACTTAAATTCTTGTTAATTATTTGCAGGGTGTTGTATACTGGCAGCCACCCAAACAGGCACTAGAAAAAGTGCAAGAACTTGTTTGGGAGCCTTCGACTAGTCGATATGGTGCTGATGAAGGCCTGCCTGAGCTGAGGGAGGCTCTAATGAAAAAGGTCACACTTGTTTTTATCGGTTTATTTTTTTATATATTTTTTCTACCAAAACATTTTGGTGCTAATTGAAGAATCATCTCCTGTACGTGTGTGGAAGTGTAATGGAGATGGAGCATGCTATTTTTGTTTTTGTTTTAAAAAAAGAAAAAGAAAATATTTGTTGTAGAGAAAAGAGAAGTTGGTAGTGTGTATAATCAAAAGACAGCTAAAGGTTGAATAAAATAATGTTTCTGTGAATAGTTCTAAAAACATTATATCTGCATGTAATTGTCAAACAAGAGGCAGAACAAAGGAACTCTTCCCAGTTCTGAATTCTGATTAAGGGTTAATTCAAATTAAATTGGTGATGTTTTTACCCAATTACAAAGAAAGCCCTGGTTATCCCCTTCTTATATACCATGAAGTGTGTGTGGGTGGGCAAAGTGGAATGATAAAAATTTCAAGAAATTACTGAAATTATCGTTAATTACATCCTCAGAGTAGTTTGTGTAAATATCCACTAAATACTAAATTGAAAGCAGAAGTTGGCCCTCGAATGCTAAAAACATATGTTTTTGTTCATCAGGACAAAAGTTTGATAATTATCTTTTCTGCTAAGTTTCAGCAAATACTCTCGTTGTGCAACACATTACCATATTAGCAACTCTCATATTGATGTCAAGTGAATTTGTGTTGTCCTTTTCCCTTTTCAGTTACGTGATGAAAACAACTTGCGTAATTCCTCAGTAATGGTGACTGCTGGAGCCAATCAGGTGGGCTATTTTCAATCTGCTGCAATTCTTTACAGTACGTAAAATAAGTCTTTTTTGGCACAAAATAGGAAAAGTGGAACTCTAGTCATTTGCAAATGTTTTTCTTGAAATTTTCTTTTTGTGATAATTTCTGGTCAAGATTGTCTAAAATGATTGTCCTTTATCTTAATATTTGGTAAGATGTTTCATGGGCATTGCTTTTTTCTCTGCTTTAAGAGCATTTCATATGTGTCAAAAGCATTATGTTTTCCCACTTCATTTTCATTGATACATGCAATTGGGAATTTGCTTGCGTGAGGACAATTAGTTTTCAACACAAATAAAAATTTGGCGCTCGCTTGGACAAAGCTTATTAGTTGTTAGCTAATCCAAAAGTTTTCAAGACATCCTTTCCTATGTATGTATTTAAATAATTAATAAAAGTCCTTGCGAACTTTTCGCAGGCATTTGTGAATATTGTTCTTACATTATGCGATGCTGGGGACTCTGTTGTGATGTTTGCCCCATACTACTTCAATTCATACATGTCATTCCAGATGACTGGAGTCACTGACATTCGTGTGGGTCCCGGGGACCCAACTACACTTTATCCAGATGCAGGTTTATT